GATGGCGGGTTGCTTGTGCATCGCTTACCTGGGGAACACATGGCACCAGGATGCACTATGGGAAGAAGGCAAGCCACATGGCACCAGGATGCACTATGGGAAGAAGGCAAGCCGGCGGAGGCAGTGCGACTCTTTGGGCAATGTTCTACTGGGAAACCTTGGGTCCTGCCGTCCATGTGGATGTTACTTTGATACGTACCACCTAACTAAGCATTGTTGCAGACCATGTACACCCTTTCATGGAAACGGTATTCCCTGGTGGCTGTGGCCTCTTTCAGCAGGATAATGCGCCCTGCCACAAAGCAAAAATGGTTCAGGAATGGTTTGAGGAGCACATTGAGTTTGAGGTGTTGACTTGGCCTCCAAATTCCCCAGATCTGAATCCAATCGAGCATCTGTGGGATGTGCTGAAGAAACAAGTTCGATCCATGGAGGCCCCACCTCACAACTTACAGGACTTAAAGGATCTGCTGCTAACATCCAGATACCACAGCACACCTTCAGGGGTCTAGTGGAGTCCATGCCTCGATGGGTCAGGGCTGTTTTGGCAGCAAAAGGGGGACCAACACAATATTAGAAAGGTGGTCATTATGTTATCCCTGATTGGTGTATCTTGCACTGTTATTTTTTCTCATCATATTTTCATTACCAGTATGCTTTGATTAAAATTGTTTAATCAATTCCATGCGATATAATTAAATCTAGCGTATGATTAAAACGATGAGTGGGCCCGGTTTAATTTTTGTGAACAGACAATCGAAACGCCTTTTGTTAACTAGCAATTTTCTTTGACCCGATTAACAAAGAAGGGGTCAGAAGCAAAATTACTCCAAGATCAGAATGTCTACCCTTCCAAAAGTAGTACAGACTATTTCACAGACAGTACTGCTCTGAGTAGTCTTGATCTGATTTAATGTAACATTTCAAACTTTGGCAAATTCAGAGCTAATTTCATCTTCAAAAAGTACCTTGTGAAAAAATTGCCCATCAAATTTGTCAGCCAATCAGAACAGAGCTTGCCAGATCAAGAAAGCGCAATAGAGTTTTGTGTGCAGTATGCATCAGATGGTCAGTAAGCGATTGTAGGCGGTCCGTGGGCATGCTGTCTGAGGTTGAACCCACTAATGCTCAAGTGTCCATATTTTTCAAACGTCCCATGATGATGCGATACAATTTCGGTGCATTCAATGCTCAAGTGCCTCTTTGTATATTATAGAACGAATTCTTCGAGCATTATTGTTGAGAGACTCTTGGCAAATGGTGAAATTCACTTGAAACAAAGGCAGTTAACTCAGACGCTGCCCACAGAATCTTTTAAAAACAGTTGCTAAGGGACCGGAGCTTTGTTACATTTGATACTTGATAATGAGGCTTTGAGTAAAAGAAAAAGAAAAGAAACAATGAGGAAGGCAGGGTCTGCATCAATCCGCTGTACTGAAAACATGGCTGTTTTTTTTCTTTGTTTTTCTGTACGCAGTTCCTGACACGGCCCCCACCGATGTTGGAGGTGGGGGTGGTTCCAAGTCAGAGTTAGTAATAACATGGGAGGTAAGTCATCTGTCTATATTATCACTCCCTCTGTGCGAGGTAATAGTTTTGGCTAATTAAATGGAATTGAATGGGGGTGTTTATTACCTTAGTCAAAGCCAAGCCTGTTTTCCATCTGGGCCCTTTACTCCCGTAATGGCATTCAATTCAAATTTGGTTGTATATTAGAAAGCGGATCATTTGTGCTCTCAAGAGGTTGCATCACTTTGCAAAAACTGTGTGGGATTTGGAAAGGCACTGGGTGTGAACCTGAGGCTGGATCTGGTCTGTATGTTTTAATATCACTATAGTTTTTTGTTTCCCTCCCAGCCTGTGCCTGAAGACCTGCAAAACGGAGATGGTTTCGGCTACATCATCGCTTTCCGGCCGCTGGGGGAGGTCAACTGGACGCACGCCGTCACCTCCATACCATCGCAGTTCCGTTACGTGTACCGGAACGAGAGCATCCCGCCCTTTTCTCCATTTGGCGTCAAAGTGGGTGCCTACAACACCAAAGGCCAGGGACCGTTCAGCCCCGTTACCATTGTGTTCTCGGCCGAGAATGGTGAGACTGTCCATCGCATGATGAGCAGCGCACAAAAGCGTACCTTTTCACTCATTTGCAGTGTTTTCAATGGATTTTTTCTTTTTGCTATATATTTATTCATCCATTGTAAGGTGCATAAAACATTGAAAGAACAGGCTGGAATTGATTCCTTTACCACCAGCACTTTATTATGCGCAGCGCTGAAATAACATGGCTCATTTTATAACAAATGGTCGAGGAAAAGGCTATAGATTTAGATTATATCATTCTATATCATTTTATGGGTTCCTCCAACACTGTTGGTGCCAATTTTCTGTTCTTTTAGCAGTAATTTACCCTTTTGTAACAGGAAATATATTTGATATTTTGCTAAATGTCCAAGAATCCATAATGCAATTTTCTTTTTATTGTAAGTAAAGCATGTACGTGATGTTGTGTTGTAAATGTCAGGTGGTTTTAGCTCTGAAATCTCATGCTCAGCATTTGAAGCAGCAGTGTGGGAAACTTTCAGCTAGTTAGGATCAGTTTGAGATGAGCTATTACAGCGTGGAGTGATGAGGAGACAGTGGTGTGTCAGGAAGCTACCGCATTAATTGAATTCCTGTACAGATAATGTTCCTTTATGTCACTCATCTATCCTGTTAAAATAAAGGCTAGTAATTTACCATTTTAGAGACAAAAGATTTTGCATCAGCCATTCATAAATTATTTTTCATCAGCCTCTGATTTGTGCACTGACATGCTTTTTTTCTCATCTTGTCTCTTCTCGTCTAGTCTTGTCTTGTCTTATTCCTCCTCCTCTTTCAGTCGGCTTCCACCTTTTTGCGTCCTAGTTCTTCTGTTCTTGTCTCCTTGTGTCTCTTCCCTTCGCCTGATCTCATCTTTTCTCCTCTTGTCCTTTTTTTTTTATTTCATCTCTTCACTATCAGTCTCGTTTACATTTCTCTTTGTTCCATTCTCTTTTCTCATTTTGGTCTTCTCTCCTCGTAGTTGTGTCTCTTCTCATCCTGTTGAAGCAGCAGTGTGGGAAACTTTCAGCTAGTTAGGATCAGTTTGAGATGAGCTATTACAGCGTGGAGTGATGAGGAGACAGTGGTGTGTCAGGAAGCTACCGCATTAATTGAATTCCTGTACAGATAATGTTCCTTTATGTCACTCATCTATCCTGTTAAAATAAAGGCTAGTAATTTACCATTTTAGAGACAAAAGATTTTGCATCAGCCATTCATAAATTATTTTTCATCAGCCTCTGATTTGTGCACTGACATGCTTTTTTTCTCATCTTGTCTCTTCTCGTCTAGTCTTGTCTTGTCTTATTCCTCCTCCTCTTTCAGTCGGCTTCCACCTTTTTGCGTCCTAGTTCTTCTGTTCTTGTCTCCTTGTGTCTCTTCCCTTCGCCTGATCTCATCTTTTCTCCTCTTGTCCTTTTTTTTTTATTTCATCTCTTCACTATCAGTCTCGTTTACATTTCTCTTTGTTCCATTCTCTTTTCTCATTTTGGTCTTCTCTCCTCGTAGTTGTGTCTCTTCTCATCCTATCTCAGCTTGTTTCATCTCGTCTCTCCTCTTTCACTTTTATCTCATTTCATCATCTCATTTCTTGTCTTCCTACCTCTTCTCTTTTTTTCTTTTCTTCTCTTTCCTTTCAGTCTCGTTTCGGCTTCACTCCTTGTTGCATCCTAGTTCTTCTCTTCTCGTCCTCTCTAGTCTCTTTTCTTAGGTTGTCTTCTCATGTTATCTAATTTCTTCTCTTTCAGTTTTGTCTTGTTTACATCTGTCTTTGTTGCATCCTCTTTTCTTCTTGTCTATTCTTTTTCGATCTTGTCTTATTTTGGTCTTCTCCACTCATAGTCGTGTCTCTTCTCATCCTGTCTTGTCTTGTTTCATCCCATCTCTTCTCTTTCAGTCTTATCTCATTTCATCTTCTCATTTTTTTTCTCCTCTCGTCACGTCTCTTTTCTGTTCTCTTCTCTTTCTTTTCAGTCTCATTTCAGTTTCTCCCCTTGTTCCATCCTAGTTCTTCTCTTCCCTTCTCTTGATCTCATCTTTTCTCTTCTTGTCTTCTCTCGTTTTATCTCATCTCTTCTCGCAGTTTTGTCTCATTTATATCTCTCTTCATTGAATCCTCTTCTCATCTCTATTCTTTCAGTCTCATTTTCTTCTCTTTTAGTTTTGTCTTATTCGTCTTATTTTTGCTCTTCTTTTCTCATATTTCCTTATCTCTTTTCTTCTCCTTTCTTCTTGTCTTTATGCATTCATCTTTTTCTCTTTTTATCTTTCCTCTCAGAGCCCAGTGGCGTTCCAGATGGCGTGTGGGCCAGAAGCATTTCTGCCACTGAAATTGAAGTGAGCTGGCACATTCTCAGCACTTCCCCAGAAAGAGTGTTGGGCTACGAGGTGCGTCCCTTCTTCTAAATGGAAATGACTCTCTGTCCTGTTTTGAAATGCACCGTGGGTTCTGTCAGAGCCTGTCATCTCCCACGCTGCACCTCAAAGTTCCCTCTGTACCCATGGAAACGCTCCATTTGAAAATAAGAATAGGGTACCCCGTTCTTACCGTATGCATAGGAGGCCCTCTCTGCAGCACGGGTGAAATGGCTTTTCTTCATCTTTTTTGAGGACACAGAGAAAACATTAGACATTCCTCTGTGAAACCCTCTATCCATGTCACCCCCAAACCCACTGTGTGGAGAAAAGTGGAAAAACGCCTGTATAATAATTCTCCTGCACTGAACATAATGGCACCGTAGCATTATATCCGTGAGGCTTTAGATCCCACAGTCTGTGCTTTCTCTCCATTGCTCTTGAAATCAGGTGGTGTACTGGGAGGATGATACAAAACCAGAGACCATGGGCAAAGTCAGAGTGTCTGCCAATCAGAACAAGGTTAACATCAGTGGACTGAGAGAATACACTCAGTATTTCCTGACAGTGAGCGCTTTCAACACGGCGGGAACTGGCCCTCGGTCTCCCACCATCAATGTGACCACCAAGAAGTCCCGTAAGTATATGCTTCTTAAAATTATCAGTTTATTTAAGCATTGCCTCTGCAGGTACATATATTATATTATATTATATTATATTATATTATATTATATTTTTTGTCTAATTTTAATATTTGCACTTTGTAAAAAAAAATGTCCTTTTTATTGTTGAAAAGGGATAAAGACACCTGTGATTTGATATACTGTACTGTTATTATTGTTAAAGTTTTTTTTTGTTTTTTTTCAAATGTGCATTTATTTGATCAAAAATATAGTAAAAATCTGTAGTGTTGTGGAAAAATAGAACTCTTTTCTACTTTAATATATTTTCAAATGCCATTTATTCCATTAATGGAAAAGGTGAATTTTCAGCAGCCATTACTCCTGTCTTCAGCGTCACATGAATAGAAAGCATTGATTTGAAATGGCAATTTTTGTAACATTATAAATGTATTTACTGTCACTTTTGTTGTGTGTCCTTGCTGAATAAATGTAAAGAAAAATAGAGATTTAAAGGATTATTGGTTATAAGGTTATAAGATTCAGTCAGCATTTAATAACCATCATCGTTCCAAACTTTTATGTCTTTCTTTGTTGTCCGTGGGAAATATAACGAGATATTTAAATGAAATGTTCATGCTGCTCTTTCTGATACAGCGAAAGAATACAGTGACCAGCAAAAGTACCTAAGTAGTCCTTAGTTTGCATACTCAAAAGACTTGGAATATAGCATAGAAAACATATGGACTATTTTTATGTGTTTGTTGTCCTTTCTGGAGGGTGATGGTCCTTGGTGACTATATGTTTTTGTTTTGTTTTGTTTAGTTGTTTTGTTTTGACTTTTTGCCAAAAGTTTCCTTTTGTGTTTTACAGAAGAAAGCAAGTCATACGTGTTTGAAATGCCAGAATAGTCATTCATATTTCTAGAACTCTACTCTTAAGTATAGTATAATACATAATGACATTGACAGGAGAGGTGCCTGGCTGTCTGTTTGTTCATAATGTCATAATGTAATGTATGTTTCCTCTCAGCACCCGGGCAGCCACCTTTGAATGTGGAGTGGAATTTGATTGGCTCTAAGCTCACTGTTCATTGGGAGCCTGTCATTTCTCTGGAGATGGAGATGTTACTGTATTCCATTAATGGAAAAGGTGAATTTTCAGCAGCCATTACTCCTGTCTTCAGCGTCACATGAATAGAAAGCATTGATTTGAAATGGCAATTTTTGTAACATTATAAATGTATTTACTGTCACTTTTGTTGTGTGTCCTTGCTGAATAAATGTAAAGAAAAATAGAGATTTAAAGGATTATTGGTTATAAGGTTATAAGATTCAGTCAGCATTTAATAACCATCATCGTTCCAAACTTTTATGTCTTTCTTTGTTGTCCGTGGGAAATATAACGAGATATTTAAATGAAATGTTCATGCTGCTCTTTCTGATACAGCGAAAGAATACAGTGACCAGCAAAAGTACCTAAGTAGTCCTTAGTTTGCATACTCAAAAGACTTGGAATATAGCATAGAAAACATATGGACTATTTTTATGTGTTTGTTGTCCTTTCTGGAGGGTGATGGTCCTTGGTGACTATATGTTTTTGTTTTGTTTTGTTTAGTTGTTTTGTTTTGACTTTTTGCCAAAAGTTTCCTTTTGTGTTTTACAGAAGAAAGCAAGTCATACGTGTTTGAAATGCCAGAATAGTCATTCATATTTCTAGAACTCTACTCTTAAGTATAGTATAATACATAATGACATTGACAGGAGAGGTGCCTGGCTGTCTGTTTGTTCATAATGTCATAATGTATTATGTCGTCACATGTACAGTAACTAATGGTGGTGTTTCCTCTCAGCACCCGGGCAGCCACCTTTGAATGTGGAGTGGAATTTGATTGGCTCTAAACTCACTGTTCATTGGGAGCCTGTCATTTCTCTGGAGATGGAGTCAGATGTTACTGGCTATCAGGTAAGTGCTTCCCAGAAATGTAAACCTCAAAGCCAAACTGTAGGGCATTATTTTCATATAATCATATTAGCTTGTTCTATTCCAGTGAGCATTTAGGAAACAACTGTATTAAAGTTGTTAAACAACTGCAGTGCTGCATTAAAGTGTATATATTTATTTTGTTGGACGATTACCCACCTTAGTGGTAACGGAAATTAAAAATAAAACTAATTTATACCGCAGATTTTCAAAATATGTGCTGTACAGTATAGCGAAAACACCAGGTGTGCTAATAAACACAGTTCCCTACAGTGTATGATCATTTGATTTTACTTCCTTTATCGACTAAAATAGCTTGTGCTGAATAAATCTAAGTGGTTGTTAGCACCTCTCTCATTTGTTCTCTGCAGGTGTCCTACAGAAGGAACCGGCATAAAGAAATTAACACAATAACAACAAATCTGACCTCAGTGGAGCTCACGCTACCTGCAGATGATGATTACATCATTCAGATACGAGCGCTGAGTGACGGAGGAGAAGGGATGCCAACCGAACCCATCAACATACATAAACTTAGTAAGAACGCACTCATTTTTAAATTTGATGAATTTGAGTGTATTGGTCTTCTGAAATAAGTTTTTTTTTAGTACAGTGTACAATATTGTTCAAAAGTTTGGTGTCAATAATAATAATGTATACTTTAATTTAGCAAGGAATAAAAAATTTTAAAATCTATTTCAAATAAATACTGTTCGTTTGAACTTTATTCATCAAAAGTTTTCACAAAATAATTAAGCAGCACAACTGCGTAATAATAAATGTTTCTTGAGCAGCAAATCAGCATATTAGAATGATTTCTGAAGGATCATGTGACACTGAAGACTGGAGTAATGATGCTGAAAATTCAGCTTTGCATCACAGGAATAAATTACATTTTATAATATATTACAATAGGAAACGGTTATTTTAAATTGTGATAGCATTTCACATAATTACTATTTTTACTATATTTTTGACCAAAAAAATGCAGCCTTGTTGAACATAAGAGACTTCTTTTGCTCATAAAAGAAAAAAAAACCTACTGACCCCAGATTTTTGAAAGGTAGTGGAAATTCATTATTCATTATAATTACAGATGCACCAAAATTAAAATGATTGCTGATATTATAATTCTAAAAATGCTAAAAGTGAATTTAGGCAACACAACATTAAAATGTACAGTATGAAAAATGGCTATTCATTTTGAGATTGGCTATAGATTACATTTACCAAGGGAATATATATATTTTTTAAGATTAATTTTGCTGTCATTTAACGCTCACTTAAATCTAATTGTAACAATAGGGGAAATGTTATAATATGCTCCACCTCTCAAATAACTTGCCTTTTCTGCTGGCGTCACTCAGGCTGCGTGGCTATTGAATAATATTAACCAATAGCAAAATATTTGGAATGTAACATATATTCTTTTCACCATCCAATCAATTACTGTTGAATCAAAATAAGTCCTGCCCTAGATTAATCAAATTCAAATTTCACTCTAAAAACTCACCTCGCCTGACTCGCAGATCTTTCCGAATCAGAGTGGTGATATAACTAAGTGGCTGAATAGTTTACTCAATGTTTATTCCATCCATCTCTTCTTGTGGACTGGTTGTGAACAATGATAAGAGGGAATGACACTGACAGAGTTATGAGCCAATCACACTGCTGTGAAGTCACTGCTCATATTTGCTGATTACCCTTTAGGACCTTTATGAAAATGCAACAAACTCAAGGGAGGCCAAAAAAAAATGCTACCATCCCGGTGTCCCTGTTGGACAGTGTTACTTTAGAAAAATGATCGATTTATGAATTCGATTTTATCAGTTGTTTATATTCGGCTCATTTATTTTATGTCTGCATCCTTACACAATATTACATTTCCGTACGTGAGTTAAACCTGCAGGCGTGTGCAAAGCACATCCATTGCCCTCCTCTTTCAATGCCCATGATGTAAAAGATAAATATTCAATGCCAAAGGGATATTAAACACACAGGCCCCTATAAAATAAACAATTCACAGTTGACCTCATAATGTTCTCCTCCTGTTCCCCCGAGTGAAGAGCGCAGGTGCAGTTTGCAGCGGAGATGCTCTCTTACTGCAGCCCACAGAGTTTAATGCGCCTCTCTAAATGAGTTCTCACTGATTTGATGTGTCCTCCTCGTACACCTTTTATTCTCCACAGGGCTAAGCAGTCTGATCTTTATTAACTAGCCCAAGCTCTCGCCATCTATCTCTGCCCGTTGGTCTCCGCTCCCCCATGCATACAATGTCACAGGATGATTCAACTGCAAGGGACAACTGTTCTCTGTGGCTTATTGTTCACATTTTTCATCGAAAGGCCTGCAATGTCTCGTTTTCAAGAAAAAACCCTGACTCTTTTCCATTGTTAATGTTGGAAATTATTAGCTGTGCCAATAGCAAGGTTTTCCAACCTGCTTTAGTATTAATTAGTTAGCCATTTAAACTAGTTAAGTCTGCTTAGTGAGCATCTGCTGGACCTCAGTGAAAATGCAACTGTTTTTACTCTAATTTTGATTAAATAAATAATTGTTGAGCATAAGATACTTCCTAGATTAAAGAATGTTATAGACCCCAAGCTTATGAACAGTTGTGCACAGTTGGGTTTCAAAAACTGAAAATTTACCCTCAGGACATCCAAGATGTAGATGAGCTTGTTTCTTCATTGGAACAGATTTGGAGAAATTTAGCATTATATCACTTGCTCACCAGTGGATCCTCTGCGGTGAATGGGTGCCGTCAGGTTGAGAGTCCAAACAGCTGATAAAAACATCACAATA